GAGGGAGAAGTGAGTGTGAGAGAATTAGAGAAGATAGTGAGAGAGAGATGAAAGAGTGAGTGAGAGTGAGAGATGATGAAAAAAGAGATAAGAGAGTGAGTGAGAGTGAGAGATAGTGAAGAGAGAGATGAGAGATTAAAGGCATGTTTACGTATCAGTAATGGGTATGTGAGGAAAGGGAATGATTTCCATTCCTAACTTCCCCTGCGTTTACTTACAATCAGGAATGAAATAATAAGTGGGCCCCACCTCAAAATCCATAATCACATCCCCTAAAAACTGGGTATCAAATCACCTAGGGGGGAGTAGTCGATACGATTCCCATTCCTGTTTTCTCTTAATAACTTCCAAAAATACCTTTACTACTTTACCATAATCCCAAAAATCCCCAAACCCTAAAATAAAATAAAAAAACTCACGCCAAGAAGTTCCAAGACACTCCAACTTCTTTTTCACGTTATCGTTGCAGACAAAACCTCCCATAAGCAGCAACAACGCCTTGTGCTATGTAAATCATTCTATCTATCTATCTTCTTCTTCTATCTTCTATTTTCACATTCATCACACAACATAGTACGGTCATAGATAAGGACTTTTGTGGAGATTATATATCTCTTTTTTTGGTAGCATGAAGATTACGCAGGTCATTATTATTTGATTGTTGACTAGTTACGTAGGTGAAAGATATATATTTATTGGAGTTTATTTTTTCGTTTGAAATTGGCTCTTGATAAAGGTGTTATTAACATTATCATTCAACTGGCCTCTTGCTGTTCATCTTGTTCAACATATTGATTCATCATGTTTACACCGCCGTACTAGTTTGCCACTGGATTAGTTTGGTCTCCTTAGCCAATTTGAGAATTATATATGTGCTGTGGTGAAAATGTGCAGGGCATTTTAGTAATCAAATTAATTTCCGCAAAGTCGTAATTTATTTATTTTTTTTAAATTTCGCATTTTTGGTACTCGCCAAATTTTTAGAGTATACTTTGCGCGACGAAACCTTATATTGGTCGCGCAAAGTCGTAAATTTTTTTTTATTTTTAATTCCAATTTTTGGTACCCGCCCAAATATTTAGAGAACACTTTGCGCGACGAACCGCAATATATTGGTCTTGCAAAGTCGTAAATTTTTTTTTAAAAAAACAATTCCATTTTTGGTACCCGCCCAAATTTTTAGGGTATACTTTGCGCGACGAATTCCAATATATTGGTCTCGCAAAGTCGTAATTTTTATTTTTTTTTTAAATTCCATTTTTGGTACCCGCCCAAATTTTTAGGGTATACTTTGCGCAACAAACTCCAATATATTGGTCTCGCAAAGTCGTAAATTTTTTTTATTTTAAAAATTCCATTTTTGGTACCTGCCCAAATTTTTAAGGTATACTTTGCGCGACGAACGAGTATATATTGGTCGCACAAAGTCAAAAAAAATTTAAAGCTACTAATAAATATATATACTATTCAATTTCTTAAGTGTTATACGTACAAAATAAACAAATTTAAAGCTACTCAACGATCCAACCGTCAAACTTGTTTGTTTATACTTCGAGATCATATACGCCAAAATTCGGAAAAAATAAACATTAAGAGATCACGTAATGGGACAAAACATTTCAACGGTTATAAACAAAAAAACAAGATTTAATGGTTATTTCAACTCTGATTTTGATGATTTTTTACAACTACACTCCTTGACCCTATATGAATACAATGACTGCATTCGATCGTCAATTTAAATTATTTACACTAGTGGATACCACAAAATCTTATGTTATATTTAATAAAAAGTATAAATAAACTCTTAATTGTTAGTGAATATATTGTTTTGATGGGATACGCATTCTGCAAAACTAGTTTCAACGATCCAACCGTCAAACTTGTTTGTTTACACTTCAAGATCATATACGCCAAAAATCGGAAAAAATAAACATTCAGAGATTAACTAATAGAACAAAACGTTTCGACGGTTATAAACGAAAAATCACGATTTAACGGTTATTTCAACTCTGATTTTGATGATTTTTTTACAGCTACACTCCTTGTCCCTATATGAATACAATGAACCAATTCGATCGTCAATTTAAAATATTTACATTAGTGGATACCACAAAATCTTATGTTATATTTAACAAAAGTATAAATAAACTCTTAATTGTTAGTGAATATATTGTTTTGATGGCATATGTATTCTATGAAACTAGTTTCAACGATCCAACCGTCAAACTTGTTTGTTTATACTTCGAGATCATATACCCCATAAATCAGAAAAAATAAACATTCAGAGATCACGTAATGGGACAAAACTTTTCGATGGTTATAAACCAAAATCACGATTTAACGGTTATTTTAACTCTGATTTTGATGATTTTTTACAACTACACTCCTTGACCCTATATAAATACAATGACTCAATTTGATCTTCAATTTAAAATATTTACACTAGTTGTATTTAATGAAAGTATAAATAACGCACCACCGGATGTCCCAACGTTTGGAGGAGAACTCTCAAGATGCGGGTCTATTCGCAGGGAACCGTTCAAACAAGCGTGAAGGCAAGAGCAACAAAGGGAGGAATGCTAAGTCCAAGGACAAAGAAGGGTGCTTCGAGTGTGGGTCTATGGATCATTGGAAGCAAAATTGTCCGGTATGGAAGGAGAAGATGAAGAAAGCTGGAAGTTCAGCAAATGTATGTGATGATGACATTTGTGATGAACTCTTGACGGTTACGGAGGAGAGTAACGGGGAAGTCATGGAAAGTTCTTCGGGTAAGAGTTCTACTTCAAATTGGATTTTGGATTCCGGGTGCTCATATCATGTGTGTGCAAATAAGTTGATGTTTGACACATATGAGGCTAAGAAGGCAAGCAAGATTATGTTGGGAGACAAAACTACATGTGAAGTTTTGGGCATAGGGACTGTGAAGATCAAGTTGCAAGATGGTGAAGTTTGGAGTCTTAGTGAGGTAAGGTTTGTACCTG